ATATAGGGCTTGTATCGGTCAGTTACAATTTCGGCTCATTACCAGATACGAATTTAAGAATTAAATTTTGTCTGCATTTTTATTGGTTTTAAAGGCACATGTATACCAAGGTGAGGGAGAAGTTTTTTTGTTATTTTTAAAGCAAAATTTTAAATTTATAATTTTGTGTTCACCGAATTCCATGGAAAGTTGTTTTCGGGAAATGAGATACACCATCTGGGAATAGTGTTCAAATTTCTGTTTGTTATATACATCTGTTATCACAGATGCCATATATCATGGCGTCGTTGGTTATTTTTTCAAAGATTTGTGTGGTTTTTATTTTAGTATTTTTGATTTTTCTATTTTTGAACAACTTTGAGGTTTTTATCGGATAAGATAGAGACACTTATTTGAGGAGAATTTACTGATATGACAATTAAAAAAAAAAAATTCTGTTCTTTTCAATGATTTGAATAGTTTTGATTATCAAAAAAAATTTCATTCCCACAATTCAGTGTTTCCGATATCATAATTAAAAAATAGTACCTACCTACCTACCTAAAAAATTGTACTACTTTCTTAAATTTCTTTTATTTTTCTACATCCCTATTTTTGCTATGTTTTAATCACATTACTGTAAAAGCATTAATTTTCGCTGGTATTTAAATTCTCTATCAAATTCACATATCTACTATAGTTTACCTGATGTATTTATGATACAAAAAACATTGAATTGTTCCCTGATTTGTAGTATTTTAAAGTATCAACTTGATCACTAATAATCTGTTCCCAGTATCATAGTTTTGGATAATTCAGAATTGACATAAAGATGCATTGTTTTTCACTGGTATGTAATTTCATTATTTTGAGCATATTCACTGAGTTTTAAAGCAGTAGGAATATCACCTCCATGCTGCAAATGGTCATAGCACGTCATTGTTTATAAATGAGCATTTTTGTTTTAGTGGGCATTATTGCCACTTATGACTCAATTTCTATGTGTGCACAGGTGACAACTCTTTCGCTCTAACATCACAGTTAAATAAGGCAATTTCTTTGTTTTAAAAGTGAAACAATGAATTGTTAATTTCATGTCTATGTGGATTTAATTGAGCTAAAAAAAAAGAGTGAAAATAGCAAAATTAAAACCCAGTGAATAATTAATAAGTGTATAGTATATTTTTAATTTGATATATTGGCAATTGTTAACATCAATATTTTTTAAAGGTTATTTTTGAGATTCTGTTTTTGCACACTGTCTCTTCTGTGAGTAAGGTTTTGTGTTTATTAAAATCTTTTTGTTAAGTTTAATTACATATCAACATGAAAATTACATTTACCACACTACTTCACTTGAGAGTCAGGATGATTATAATAATAATACATTTCCAAGTTTTGTAGTGACTCCTGTAGTCACTGTAAACCCAAATAGATCATTTTGCAGATTCAGGTGTGCTTTATTTTGTGTGATAAGGTGGTTTAGACCAATTCAAATTTTGCACTTCTGAGCAAGTTATCGCACATGTGTGCAATGCATTGTGGGAGAGAACTAATTGTCTATAATTATCTGTCTCACTTAAAATAAATGTTAATTTTCAAAATATTGAGATTCATATCACAAACGAAAAATGTAAACATATTTTGGACTTTCACACAAAGTGACTGAAAAATTATCGAGATAAACATGATTTAATGATGTGTTACAACAAAACTCTGAAAATAATCTATTGAAATGCGATCACACACAAAATCACACGAAAAAGCGAATATGTGGTTTTTGTGTAATTTCTGTAATTCCCCCCCCCCCCCCCCAATTTGAAACAACCAAGTTGTGAATTAACAAATTGCTGTACAAATACAGAATTGGATTCTGTTCTATATAGTTGTGTTGAAAATTTACTGTGGCACAATGAACACTTGCTGTTGCTTGATCCAGATGTGGTTTAATTATTCAATATATATCTTAAAAATTTGAGTGTGCAATTTTGTTTATGTACTTCATAATTTAAATTATACTGTTGTGAACTTTTAAAAATTATTGCTTTATTATATCTTTAAAAGTGTCTTCCATTTGAAAATATTAAAAATACATTAAATAAAATATTGTGAATTTCATTTATGTTTAGTGTAAGTAACAGTGGGATGTTACGAGGGCCTTGTTCTTTGCCCGATTTCATCTAATTGGATTGTTTCAACTAAACTAGAGAGGGCGCTGTATATTTCTAAAAGAATTGTTTCTGTCACTTCTCAGCATTACTCACTTACTTAAAGGCGCGGTGGTCGTCGTGCAGCGCGTGTTCGAATTTCATGTAAATAAACAATGATTTTACACGCGTTGTATACATCGTTATGAGTCCCATATCGAACAGGACGCGGCACAACGACTGCCACTTTAATTATTACCAAATGCTGAATGTTGGACTTGATTGCAAGACTGGGCAATATTGTGTATGCTTATGATTTGCAGATGCATGCAGTCAACGCGTACAAAATGTTAACCTCTACCAAATACTTTGAAATAAAATAATATCCTGTATTTCGGTGAAAACGTATTCACTTCATGTGTCTCTTCTTTTTCTTTCCGCAATCGAGGCGATTACATCATTACCATTGCTACCACTTTACTCAACTCTTGCCGACATGCTTTTTGTACAACTCGTCAGGTTCTATCTTTCGGCGTCAGCCACATACTTTTCCAATTCATCAGCGCCCTGGGTAAACATGTTCTTCTATGCTTTTGATAAAAAGCCATTAATCGAAACATCTTGCTAGATTGAATAGTTAACAAGGACAACGATTACCAAATATAAGTTACTATATATCAGCGCCCTGGGTAGCCTCTCTGATTCTATACGTCTTTTTTCCCAGCAGAAGATACGCAGGTGGCTGTTGAGTTCTCTCAATGGTGACCGAATCGTATACTAGTACTCGTAGGAACCATCGCACAACCAGGTTCTTTCTGGGGCACTGGCTGTTGAGGGCATTTAGCTATAGCTTGCGTTCATCCGTGCGGGTGGTACTAGCCCACGTCTCTGCTCCTTATCGTAGTGTGATGATTTTCACACCATTGTAGATGCGAAGTTTGGCCTTAAGACTACAAGTATATTTGCCAACTAGTTATCAAAGAGATGTATGCCCGGGGGGGGGGGTCACTCAATATTAAAACCTTACACCATGTGCGTTCTTGCATCACATTGGCAAACCATACCCCCTATTGCGGACGAAATGTAAATTCAGTACCCCCTAGAGCAGACATATTGTAGAAAAAACACCCTCTATTTCAGACATTTATTGAGAACATCCTACCTCCTGCGAGGATTCTCTGCCGTGTCTGCACTCAAGTGGAGTGTGATCAACTCAAACAAGTTACTGTGTATGCAACTCCTGTGGGTGTCATTCGTTGTTTGATGAAGAAAGTGAGAACTA